GCCCCCAGCGGCGCCTCGCTGTCCAGACCCGCCCCGTATGCCCAGTATGAGCGTAAATAAGCTGTTTGTCTGCTTGTTTTTTAATAAAATAAAACAGGTTCGTTCACCTTGCACTTTAAATTAAAAATGTTGGATATTAAAAAAATATATATTACTTGGTCACTTGTAAAACAATCTCTTCCTTATAAAATTCTTTGCTCAAAAGAAGGCAGTTTCCAATAGATATGTTGTCACGCTGCAGTTAATGTTAAGTATTTGGCCTCTCAGAATTACTAGTCTTCTATTTCTATTTTAAATTTAAGCCCCAACTTAATATATTACAGTATCTATGCCTCAGACACACTCATTAAAACAGTGAAGGACTTTTCCGTGGACTTGTTATAGGCTCCCCCTTGGGATGTTCCTTTCTGATTTTTTTCTGACTTGCTTATTTTGTGTTTTACAGCTAATTTCAATAGGGTGACCTTCCCTAGAATAGTCAGCACTAGGGCATTCACCTGGAACAGGGGACGCGGGATGTTTTATCTGCTTTGAATCAGCCGTAAGAGTGGCGTGAGCCAGATTTTCCAGCCTCACAAGACAACTTGCGAAGCCGTAAGGCGCCAGCTCCGCCGCAGCGATCTTTACCTCATTCTCTGTCCTTTGTCTGTTTGAGTTGTTGCTTTTAAAAATGAAGAGAAGGCCAGAAAGCTGAACTGAACTCCTCCTGCCTCAGCAAAGGGAGTGAAAAAAAAAAAAGAGGGATTGGAAAACTCTGGGGAGAGTCTCTAAGTATGGGCCCGTTTGTTGCTCGTGCTGCTGCAAGGGGAGGCACGACTGCTGCTTCTGGAAGCCATCCCTCCCCTTTTTCCGCTAGCGGTAATGCCTTTTTTGTATCTCAAAGGTAGTAGCAAACTTTACTTTCTAGGGATTTACCACAGGCAGAGTAGGCAACAGCCAATTTGTCTTACCTCGTTATAAAGGTACGTGAGAATGGCTTCAACAGTGGCATTGTGTGGTTAAATTGTAGTCCTTGCGTTGTGGTACCGATTGTAATGAATATGGTTTTTTTTTTAATTGACTTGAAAACTTAGTGAAATACAACTGGACCAAAAGAAGGATTTAGTTGCTTGAGTAGTTTCATATTGATATTCTTGTATTTATTAAGGTTTCCTTTGATAACTGCAAGCTTTACAACCGCTACATGGTTGTCCTACAAATATATGTTTATATATATATATATGTATGTATGTATGTATGTATGTTTACATTTCTTTCACAATAATCAACAATATCATCTTTAACTGTATGGTCATAAAAGATGTTCTCGGAGCTGCTTTCACAGTCAGAATCTGTTTAGTGAGTTTGTAATTGCATAGTAAGATCCTGTGGCTCTTTGGACAGTATTTATTAAGCTCACGCAGAGCAAGGAGCTGTTTGGAGGTAGTGCTTTGGAGGCTAAACGTATCAGCCTCAGGATTTCCTGCAGCATCGGTTAGTGCAGTGGCTGAGAAATGTGGTTTTGGTTTCAGAAATGCTTGACTCAGATCTGCAGTGAAATGGGCATAACACTTTATGGGTATCTATTTATTGTGCCTCTAGAAAATTAACCTTCAAGTCTGACTTCTTAAAATTCTAAGGCTCTATATTATTTATAAATGCTGGTGATCAGAGAATTATTTATTTAAATTCTAAATTTAACTGAAAATGGTAGCATTGCACTAAATTTAACTCGCAGAAATCCTATGTACTTTAGTTACTATATAGGTAAGCAGATTATTGTCTAACTTTTCTAAAGGTCTGGGTGAATGGTAAATGTTAGTCCTTCACTTGTGATGCTAAAATACTAGTTTGTTTACAGCCAGTGCATAAGTTAATATATTAATACTTTTGTGTATCTTTGTGTGTATAAGTTATTAAAGGTTAGATATCCCAAACTGTTGTCAGACTGTATTCTTCCACTCTCTCATCTTTAATAAAGTCATAATCATGAATCCAGTAGGTTTATGGTTAGTTCTTAAATGTCTTGAAATATAAAGCTAAGATGAGTTCTTTATAGGATCGTCATCTTTATTTAAGTAATTCTTCCCCTATTGTGCTGTTTTACACCCACACCATTCCTTATTTCTAACCTGTTCTCTTTTAAAACAAAGATACTTTAATATATTGCTTTCAAAAATGTCTTGGGTACTCAGTAACCTCACTGCCAATGAAAGTGCAAAAGATTAACTGTCTCTTTTGAAATGAAAGCTTATACTTTGTGATTCCTTCAGAGAATTTTATCCATTGCTGTACAGTGCTGTGATCCGCAGGGGTCAATATCAAAACCACTTTGTGTCATCTAGGTCTTTGTTTATAATATTAAAGAACTATTATAGCCTTTTTTTTTTAGACAAGGATATTTTTGCATATAATACTATCACAAAGTTTCCATCTAACTTGACTAGAGAGGAAGATTTGGCCTCCCTTCACCCTTTTAACAGTTTTAAATGTAAGCTTTTAGTCCTATCAGCCTTTCCAGAGCAAAGCTGATAATCATTATGACTAGATTACACCTTCCAGTTATACCTAACAGAATGTTTAGTCCCTGTTTTCACCTGCTGCTCATACCACTTAATCTCCAGAGAACACAAATAGCGGAAATACAAGCCTTTATTCACATCTTAGTGTTTGAGCCACAACTCGTGATCTACCTGTTTTCCATCCTGTTAATGCGAGTTTCTGGTTTAGTGCGGTGAATATGTTTGGTCTGGCAGTGCTCATGCGCTTTCAACTCATGTAAAAGCAATTTCCTGGATTCTATGCTGATTCCTCTGGTGGGCTCTTACGGTTGCCTTTTCACTGTTCCTAAATTGAGCAGATTTACTTTTAATTTTTTGTTGCACGATGAACCTTGTGCTCAACCTGCGGAATGAATTAATGGAAGCAAAACTAATGCAGAAGTGCATTCTTTTCCTTTTTCTGTGGCAGGGGAAAAGTAGATGGTGTGATAAAAGACAGAAGTAGACATTATTTTGGAAGTTCAGTGAAATGGTCACACTTTTTCATAGAATAAATGCATCTTAATTTTTTGATTCAGGAGATTTGTTTGAGGGGTTTAACAGGGACCTAGTATGTTTTTAATGCATAGGCAAAGTTGGAATTGAAGCTCTAGGGTTAAATGTAGCATGTGCATGTGTTAGTCTTATGGTGATTTCAGTTTGTTTATTTTTTCACGAACAATACATCATTTTGATGTGTTAAACTGCTCACAAACACTGTATTCAGCATTTTCACTATGTCAGTATTATGCTTAGTTTCTGCAAAGGTGTTTCAGTACCAATATAAAACCAATGTTTTCAATCTTTTTTCTTTTCTTTTTTTTTCTTGCTGGTACTCAAGGGAGTAGCCTTGGAGAGCCAGAAGATGAAAGCTCCTATTCCACACTTGATTCTCTTGTATGCTACTCTAACTCATAGCTTGAAGGTTGTGACGAAAAGGGGATCAGGTAAGTAGATCCTTCTCTGCGGTTATGATTTATTAAAAAAAAAAACAACTTAAAATTTGCAAATGTACACTAAGATGTTTTTATACTGTTCTTGAATGTGATTAAGAGGGTTTCAAATTCTACAGCAAAAAAGTTAGTAACTTCTGTATGTTTTTAGACTGTATTTTGTTGTGTGGACCTGATAGAAAAAAACAGAACAGTAGACACGTAAGATCTGTAAAGTCAAATGAATGTAACAACCCATCTATGAAAAACCAGCATATTTTATTCCAAGATATTCTCAAGACTATTTAATTTATTTAAAATACTTTAATGCAGTCAGTATTGTTAATGTAAGCTACTGAATTTGTGTATTTTACTGTATACCTACAGTGAAGAATCTCTCAGATACACAGTTCAGGTAATTTTGGTTTAGACTACTGATTTTCATAATTCAAAGAATAGATGAAGCACATTAAATTTATTAACCATGAAAAGTGAACAGCAATACATATTTTCTGAAAGGGTAACCTAATACATGGATGAAGAGATTAATGCAACAAGGAAAACATGGGCAGTTTTTCAGAAACGTAGCAGAGGGTGAAATGTTTACCAAACATCTTTCCTGCAGTTATTACAGATGAGTTATTTTCATATGCAAATAAAGGGAACATCAATACTGAGACAATTGTGTGTTTTCACCTCACTTTTGATCTGTCATCCTGAAATTCTAATTTTCCCCTCTTTTACGTTTTATTGAATAATGGAAATTTATAGGATGCTGCTTCTGCAAACTCCTGTCTCACCACGTGTTACTAAAGTACACTAAATCCTGAATGGAAGTCTTGATACCTTGTTGATAGATTACTACTTAGTAACTGGGTTCGTTGTTACTGGTTGTTTTCCTTTTGGCATTGAAGCGTTTTAGGTAGCTTTTGTTATAATGTCTTCTAGAAATCTAACCCTGAATTCTTTCTGTATTTTTATCTGTTTCTGGCTGGAGCTGGTTGCTAGTTGTTGTTCTGAAGTGATGCGTGGTGAGGACAGAGATGTTTTTATATTTTGGGCAACAGCTTAAATCATATGCTGCACTTTCAATAGGTTACATTTGTAACAGTATTATCAAACTGATTATGCCTTCAATATTTAAGTGATTGGAAATATAGAATGAGGGAAAGCATAAGGAGTACAACTATAGTGTTAAACTATTCTTCAACCAAGATTTGAGATCAGAATATATTCCAGGTTATTTAAGCACAATAAACTTGGCATATACTCAGTATATGCAAAGCAAAAGAGTTAATGACAGGTTAAGGTGTTTGTAATACGATAATGAAGCCTCTGTATTTTCTTGTGGAGCTAGCTTATTCTGGTTCTAATGGTAGGTATCATTTAAAAGTATCTGGATGTGGTATTTCTGTTGGAGTACAACTTTGTTCTTGGGAGCTTTAGGTTGAGGTCACTTAGTATAAATGATTTAGTATAAACATCATTGCTCATCATAAAAATAACTTTTACAATGACCTCTATTTTTAAGGAACAAAAAAATAAAAATAGCCAGTTATAAGATACTTATCTCTTGAGCGTGACAGTAATAAGAACTCGGATTGTCTTTGCATCTTATTTCATCATTTTTGCCTGTATCCTCTTTCCATGATGAATCAATGCAAGGAAAAGTACATTTTAAATCCTATTCTGGAAAGAAATAATAACTGCTCTCCAGCTAAGTAAAAGAATACCCAGAATACTTTATAAGATATACTGCATGTATTTACATCCTGATAATATAATAAAAAAGAAAAACCCTAATGGAAATCTTTGTATTGTAGCCCACTTTTAAGTTGGAGTTCTTCGTGTTCTCACATGAGATCTGCTTATACTGTATATAGTTTCAGCTGCCTGAATTGCCAAAAAGACTTCTACAGTACTTTATTGCAGTACCGTGCCTGGAAATTTTCCCCTTTAAATGCAGTTTTGTGGTGATGTACATGCAGGGGAAAAAATCTGAATTTTACTGAAATATGAGATCCTGCTGCCATTGCTGTTGTTGTTTAGTGCCCTTGAACTTGAGGAACTTCCACAGAAGTAGATAGAATGTATTATGGACATAGTACTGCTTTGAGGTTTTTCCTGAATGCTTAACATCTTATTTATTGTAATGGAACTTTTGGCTACATAAAAAGTTCATTTACCTGTACTGTGAAAATAAAAGTTTCTTAAAGAGAGTGCAACTTATAGTTGGAAATGGAGGGGGGGAAAAAGAAAGATTCAACTTGGAAAATGAAACTTTAGTTCTATGTGGACATGCTAAGCAGAGGCAGAGGGTGGAGAGGACATGGTCCTTATTTAGTTGTATGTATTTGAGTCGCATTGTACCATGTGGATCAGAAATTCAGCTGGTGTTTACTTCAAATTCCTTACTATGTCTCTGGGAATCTCTTGTTGTTCTAGAAGCCTGAAGCATACTTCAATTTATTTTCAAAGTTGAATGCAGATATACTTCTTTCTTTGTTTCTTTCATAAAAACTCAAGGTAGGAGGAAAAGAAAACCTGAAAAATATTGTAACGTAAGAAGCTTTTTGAATGAAAGCAAGAAAGCAAAACTGTACCTCTGGTATTGAAGTTTAATGCAAATCTAGCTTGAAAGTGTTATACGTTAAGGGTAAAGCTAAACTGCAGCAGGATGTGAATTTTATTTTTTAATTGGAAAAATATAGACTTTAAAATAAAAACAATCCCATGCCTTTATGGGAATAACGAAGTATTTCATAATAACTAAATATGTGCACTTGAAAGCTATACACCTGTTCCTATCCCCTCCTTTGGCTCTTTATCTGTATTAACCAAAACAGAAAAATAAGTCATCTTTTTAATTGTAATCTGAAATCTAATTTATTTGAGTGAAGTACACAGACACTTTCTAATTATAGTTTCAAGTTAAATAATTCGGGTGTTCTATGATCTATCTTGTCTCATGATCATGATAACTAAAGAGTAAAAAGAAAAAAAGTGAACTGGCAGTGCTACTTTAGACTTCCATTTTTACCTAAGAACTTGCTTCTTCAGACTGAATTGAAGAATAATTATAAACATGGAGTAGTAGCTTCTGCTTTTTGGAGATTTATTGCTATTATGTAATTGCTTCTCTGTTACAAATTAAAGGAATGTATCACGAGTAAAGGGGTTGTTATGTTAATATGCTAAATACTTGTCCTGACTGTGGTTTGTTCTTTCTAGTTCATCTTCTTTGAGACTGTTTCTAAGTACTGAATCTGAAAGTGTAAACCGTGTGCTCTTTATACATTTAAGTTCAGTTTTTAGTGACAGAGACCTATCTTTGAAAAGATGTCGTCTGCAGTGCCAGTTGGATTTTTCCTGCTCTAGTACAGCAGTGCTCTTCTTTTGTAAGGCTTTTACCAGCTGTGCTAAGAAAATAATGATTAATAAAACTATGAGTTTCTCCATGCAGTAGAAGTACGTTTCCAACCACTTCTCTGATCTGTTAAGTACAGGAAAACCTACCTTCACAAAGTCAGTGAGGGTTCACAGCATGCCACAAACGTGGAACAATTTGCAACTTAAGAATCTGTTTTTATTCCTAAAAATGAATGATGATACTGACAGTTTACTGTCTTCTCAGGATTTAAGTTTTATCAGATAATTAGCTATATGTGTTTGAAAACTAGAATCAACGTGTTGTTCTTGTCTTTGCATGTGTTGACTCAAAGGCAGTTTAAAGACCATTGTAAGAGAAGGCTTAGGTTACTGCACTGGATTAAATATTTGATCACGAGAGCTGTTGTTATGCAAAGCACTTAAATGACGTTACTTAAAGGCAATCCTTGAATCCTTCATAAACAGAAGAGCAGTTATAAAGCTGTTCTACCATTGTGTGCTGTTTATCAGTTAAGCATAATAATACAATGTGTGTATGGAAAAGTATTAGCAATGTGCTTACTAAGTTAGCAGGAAAACATGCTCTTAAGTTAGTTTGCTCGTAGTTGTGACATACCTGTTTCATGTTTTATCTTTATGATTATTCTGTTTATATTTGACAGAATGCATGTAACTTTTTTCAGTTAATATTTTCAGTCAATTCTGTAACGTGATGTGAATGGTTTCAAATGACTCTTCAAATATAAAATTAATCCATGTTCCATTAGAGTACGTAATCTTGTCTCTTGCATAAAAATAGGTGGGTGAGCACTTCCAGTAACAGTTCCAATAATAACAAAATAACTAAAGAAACATGTTCCTATATCTCCATAAGCAAAAAGTAAATTAAATTTCAGTACACCTAAACTGTTTTTGTCACTTACAGTTAATTGTAGAACTCCTATTTTAGGTTTTAGGTCTTCTCAAGCAAGAATGAAAAGATCCCATGCCTTGAGCTTTGCTATTCCAAACAGTAATTTCAGAGTAGATGTACTGTTTTTTAACTGGGGTATTGTAGGTATTCAGTGATGTTCCCATGAGCTTCTGGAGTGGCTTCATAGCCTGAAACAGTAACCTCAAAGATGAACTTTCAGTTAGCACAGACTGAATATCAGATGTGATATGCTAAATGGGAAACTTGACTCTTACACTAGTTCTTGGCTTTCTTAAATGATTCGAAGGATGTTGCTTCATGAAGCAATTCCTTTGTTTGATTGGCATATCCTGCTTGATGCAAAGGAAGAATAAATAGTTAAACATTTATATACTAGTTTGTACAGCATGTCATACTTTACTGGAACGGGCTTAAATTCCAAAAATGTAGGAAAAAGTGCCTTTTTTAGAGTGATGCTGAACTGCGTATAAACTTACAATATGCTTAAAATGCATAAAACCTTGGATTTATTTTGTGTGAAATGCACTGAGGTGTCTATTTTTCAAAGCAATCCTCCTTCCCAAGAGAAAGGAAATAGTACTTATTCAAAAAGGATTTTTTTTAAGCATGTGTAAACTTTATTGCATTTAGTGCAACTTATGGTAATACATTTCTAAATGTTTTACTTCCACTTTTTTCTCTGAAATAAATT